GTGTAAAGGCAGCAGGACTTTCAGCAGGAATATCTTGTGCTCTTCTTTCAACGGTAATGCAAAGCCATTGATTATGCTGTGAATAGAAAAAGTGGTCATTGAAGATAATGAGACAAAGCAAACACCTGGATGTACTAATACAAATGTGCCTTTTAAATGGATTTGACTAATGAAAACCATTACTGAAAATGAACCAGTGAATGTGAAAGTGAGTGTGAAATGGTGAAAGAGTAATGGGTGCACCTCCAAATCATCTTACCTGCCTAATATCTCCAGTAATTCTGCTATTCCATTATGATGTTCAGTCTCATAAATGAACCTGGAAAAAAGCAACATGGTTATATAATCAAGGCGGTGCATTTAGCTAAATTCACTCCATTAGACAAAACCACAGGTGTCCCTAATGTGTACAGCGTCATGAGTCACTCACCTATAAAATATGTTATTAATGTGTTTCCTAATGTATGCTCGCAGGCCCAGGAACTTGCCATAGATGCGATGAAGAGTAGTCTTTAAAAAGTCTCTTTCCCTGGGGTCTTCACTGTCAAACAGGTCTAAGAGCTGTGGACAAAAAAACAAAGGCATACATTCGACCGAGCATCAAAAAAATAGAGCCCTTAAAGCCATGCGTACAGACGTGTATCATCATGCGCTCACCTGCATTACAAACTTCTGGTCAATATACTTTTTGGCTATGTTTGGTTGAAAGTCAGGTGACTCTAAGAAGCGTAGGAAGAATTCATAAACAAGCTGTGGGAAGAAAAAACAAGGTTAACACATGAAAGTAACATACAGATTTATTCACAGCAGTTTACTGTGTGTGTGTGCGTGCGTGTGTGTACCTGTAGGTGTGGCCACGCAGCCTCTAGCGTGGGCTCGTCTTCTTCGGGGTCAAACTCGGCGCCCGTGGGGTTTGATGATGGCGGCAACGTCCTGAACATGTTCACAGCAAACTATGGAGAAAAACAGAGCAGCAGGTCAACTCTACAATCCTCCGAAAAAGTCACGTCGCTGAGTCAAGACGTTCATTATCAGGTTACAACTAGAGATTCATATTCAAAAAAAATAAATAGAATTACTGGACAACATGTAATGTCAACTACTCTGCTTCCTCTGGTATCCTAAAGCTGAGTGGGAAAAATGTATTTTAGCTTTAGCATGGTAAAATTGAATATATTTATTTAACAAATGAAAGCCCTATAGAGAACAACCAATTTATTCAGAGAGAAAAATAAATAGCTAACTACAATTATGTTCCATTGGATACTAGGCTAATTCAAGTGAATAATAAATAAAGTGAAGAAAATAAATGTCAATCTTGAGTCTGTGATAAAGAATGCAATGATTCATTTTTGCTTATTATCATTGCTGTTAGAGAGATGGTATCCAAGCTCTGAAGACCATAGATATTATCTCTCCAACAGCAATGATAAAAGAAAAGCACACTTGAAAGATATGTTTCTCTCACAATGTACACACCCTGTAAACATTAGCTCAGTTTGTCCTCCACTTAAACAACTGGCGACTTAACATTCGCTTTGAATACAAAACCGTCCAGCTGAAATAATAAAGCCGATGGTGGAGTTTCAGAAAGCCACTAGCGACAGTATTTGATAAGCAACCAATGTTATAAACAATCATTAACTCAACTAAACAAAACCACAATAGGACAACAAATACTCAAGGTTAAGGGAGTGGACAACTAAAACAAGCCTCTTTGCAGCCGCTTTCAAAGGATCCCAACTAAAGACTGGACATGCTGACTACGCTGTAGCTCACAGTGAATGTACTATTTATAATTCAAATAAACACAGTTTCATTTTTACATGGCGCAATGGGAAACATGTTAACTGTCCACTAAAAATGTAACCATACAATTATTTACAGTACTCAACTTTTTGCCCAAAACAAGTAAATAGAAATACTGAAAAATCAAATACTCAATTATCATTAGCTTACTTTGAAACAAGGTGTTTTCTTTATGAAAAACAATGAATGACATGTGTATTCATGGTTGAATAATCCCTCGTGTGTTTCTGGGATAGAGGCCAGTATCAAAAACACCATTCCCCAAACTGGGAAACATCTATGTCTTTTCTTTCTCACTTTCAAAACAGCTCACTCAGACAGTCCCTGAGAGACCAGACGATAAGAGGTCAAACACACTCGTTCGTCATCGTCGTGTTTATATTCTCAGCAGAAACCATTTATACTCCCCCCCCCCCCCC